TTTCTTTTCTTTTGTTTCTTTTTTTTCTTTTGTTCTCTCTCTCTCTCTCTCTCTCTCTCTCTCTCTCTCTCTCTCTCTCTCTCTCTCTCTCTCTCCTTCTTATTAATTTTCATTTTTTCCCTCAATTTTTCAATCAACTGTGATAAAACAAAAAACTGAAAGCTTTAAATAAATTTTTATTTACACGATATCTATGAGAGACTCAATGTTATTTGAATGAAAAAAAAAAGAATTGAAAATATAATTAAGATTATTTAAGAATGATTAGTTTAAGAATTCACACGAATGACATTCGTTTTTTCTTTTTTGTGTCTCGCTCGCATTCACTTGAAATTCAAACTCATTCAAATGCTCGTTACTACACGTGCACTCTCTATGAGCAGATTTCGCTAGATACGGTAGCATAGGAAACGACTGTTGAGACGCAATAGTGACGTGTTGTAGGTTATGGCTCAATGCCAATTAACACGTTTGAATTCGAAATGAAATTGTTTTTCGAAGAAGCATGGATGAGTAAGACTATTTTGCCATTACAATCAGATGAACGAATACAGTCAATAACGAGCAAAAACTTCATTTGGATCGAAAGGTAATATTTCAAAATATCAAATAAAACTTTCTAATGAAAGTTCAAATAAGAACTTAAGAACAACCATTCTGTGCGTATGCTCAATGCTTGGCAACAAAGAAAGTAAATTATTAGAACATTTTGAATCTAAACAATTGGCTACTTTTACAATAAAAGTATATAACCAGCGTATTAAAATTATATTTTATTATAAATAGTTTACAATAATAATAATTATAATTATAATTTAAGGATTATGATTTAATAAATGACGTACAAGCATTACCGTAATTGCAATGCACACTCCCAATGCAACAGCCAAATGGAGGAAGAAGACTCCGAGACGCAATGATTGTTTCTTAAATGGTATTATTTTGATTGATTATCATATTTATAGGTGAAGAAGAAAGAAAATGAATGTAACTTACAGTATCTTCTCCTGTTTGTAATTCACTTGAAGGTCCATTGATTGTCGATAAAGCCATACCGCTAGGTCCTAGAACATAATCAACAGCTTGTATATTAGCTATAACGATTTAATATATACATATAATTAATTGTTCATATTAATTAAATATATATATTTCTAGGAACCAAACCAAGCGATGCTTTACCTGATTTCTCAAATCGACGATCATTTGTTGAAGAAATATTTTCAAGTAAAATATTACAACCGATAAAGAATGCAATGTATCCTCCCATGATCCAATTGGGGACGTGTCCATAAACGGCATTCATGCCTGTTTTCCCGAGTTGCAACGAGAAAATGAATGTAACACCTTAAATCGTCATTTTAGTTAGTGCCTTCTGTGGTTTGATATAAGGTACTTGCTAATGTCCAGGCAGTCATTCCAACACACCAATGCAGCCAATTGAAAATTGGCCGTTTCGCAGAATCTGGTGATGGTCGAAGAAATGCGAAAAATGGTTGAAGTACTGCCAATGCCGTTGCTGCGAAGCCGGTGATGGCATGCATTTTCTTTGCCCAGCTCTAAAGAGTGAATTGTCTCAATGAATTGGGCAGAGGAATTTACATCCGCATTGCACGTGTAAGAGCATTCATACCACGTCCAATTAGCCTGATAGAAGATGAATACCACAGCAACTACTTGTAAGACAAGTGAGATTATAAACAAGTCTCGATGAAACTGTAAGTACAAGTTTACTAAGGGAACTTTTCTGGAGTGCAGCTCTCACTTGATACCATACAGCTGTCCCTAACAATTTCGAACGTGGGAACAAGGGTTTGAAATAACGGGCTATAAGAATTGCAGAGGAACCCAAGATCCACCAAGCGACCAACAGAGCAACTCCTGGAATTCGGAACTTTAAGATGGATTCAAATTGCAGACTGAGCAGAAAACGAAAATTCAAGCCGTTCCAGCCAACACAACATATCGGGGGATACTAGGGGACGAAATAGGTTCAGAACATGATCGCGACCCAATAATTTCGGAAATGTAAGCTCAGTTAATCTGGTGAACTCTTCTAATCAAGTTTTTAGGATATGGGAACATTCTCTTTTGGGATCTGCCTTTTAAAAAGCTGCTATCGTATCATTGTCAAGGACTAAAAGGTACGACTACTATACTATTTTAAACCCCTGCTATTCTATATTAGAAGCGAACGCGTGAATTGATTGAGAGAGGAAGTATTTAGAGTTTGATAACTACATGTGAAAATTTGGGTATCTGAAGTCCGGCTGCGAAACGCTTAATCAACTGAGCAATGTGTGATAGGTATGAGATACGATAAGTGAATTACTAAAAGGTTACCGTGTAGAACGGCAATCCTATAGCGCCAATAACGCGTTACTCTTGTTTGGTACATTTCCGTTACTTGAACTAATCTAGTTGATTCAGTCGAACAATTCTTTCGACAAAATGAGATCTTGAAAGATTGTTAGTTAGTTTTGATAACTCAAAGGGAAGATTACTTTGTCTTCGGTGATCCACGGGAATTGGGCGTCATCATTGACTGAATGGATGTTCTTTTCAAGAGCTGAAGTTTACATATAATTTAACTAATCATTACCGTTTTCTTGACTCACTATAACGGTTTGCTGTTCCTCGAGCAAAGATGAGGTAATGTGCGCGGTTTTCGATATCGTGAATCTGTAAGACTGCTTTGAGCTGAACCAAACTTCAGATTGACTCGAATTTGAAATTTATCAATTACGTGGGAAGCTGTGATTGGCTTTTAGCCACGTATTCTAATTTTTCACGGGAAAGACGCTCGTGCTCACGTGGCTATGCTAATTTCTGGTCTGGACAAAATCGTCCAAAAACCGTTTTGAAAAATAACAATTATCATCCCCACCTTGAAGAGAGATTGATTTTCGACTTTATTAATATTATCCAACAGAATCTTCCCAGAGCAGGTTAGAATACCGTCCACTACTGAGGAAGAAACGGATGCAAGTAGAACAGATGTTGGCTGAAAAAAAATGTTTTCTGCCAGGGGTAAGGGACAAAAACCTGATATAGAACTTCGTTTTTTGTCTCATCATTGAAAGACAGCTGAACAAGGATCATTCCCGTTGATGATAGAACACACTCGAACACCATGTCATCATCCTTCAATTCATTTCTTTTTTAAATGATCCTTTTTCGATATATTTAATAAAGTGATCCTTGTAAAAGGACTTCGATGCAAATGCTTTTGTATTCCTTACCATTCGCTGATTGTAGCTGAATCCGGCAGCTAGGAAAGTAGCACCTGTCTGGGAGATATCCGTAGTGTCACCTTCGAGCTATAAATGGATTGAAATAGGATGATGTCTCTTAGTTCCTAGTTTTACAGTTATTTGTATTCCGTCTGGCTGCATTCTCCACCGCACAGCCGACAAACATGATTGTTTTGAATTTGGTTGACAAGTCGGAGGATGAAACCAACACGATTCTGTGACATTACATGTTTCAAATGAGAAAGCTCCATATATAGAATAAATCTGGAAAGAGATAAGATTATGAGTGGAGTCAAAGGAATAGAGAGGAAGCTTGTAAGAGAAAGAGAGAGAGAGGGCGATAGAGAGAGAAGGAGAGAGGGAAAGCGGACGAGAGAGATCTTATCTAATCAAGTTTTCGGATATTTCCTTTCAAGGTTCAAATGTTATCAAAAGTGTTTTTTTTTTATTTTGGTGCAACTCTTATCATGTGATATGATAACAGAAAACACTTAAATAGCCTTGGTTGGTCTGTTCCTTACTTTTCGGATCAGAAATCTCGCTTCACACATCTCTTCCTCTCTCATAAGCGACTCTCCTTACTTGGCTTAACTTCTGGCCATGTTCAACTTTCGAATCAGAACATTGCGAGTGGGTTGAGCCGAGAAAGCCTTGAGTGTTTCTTCATCTAATCTTTCCTTGTTCTTCTCTCATTTCGTATATCAATTGCTCACTCGCTGACGTTCAGTAATATGAAGGATAATATCCTTTTGGGATTGAATTCGTTTCGAGACCATTCTAATCGGATTAAGAAAAATCTTTTTTGAGGGAAAGTTGTATGAATGACCACAGGGAAATTCGTGAGATTTCGACATCATGTTGTATGCGGGAGAAAGGTTATAGTAATCATATGAGCTTTAAGAGAGAAATAGAGAGAGAATGACGACTCTTTGAGAGGTAGAAAGAGAGAGTGATAAGGGCAATGTAAACTAACCTGTGTTGCGAATATGGAGACGAGCAGCCAATTCATCTCAAGAAGAAGAGGTTTCCCGTAAGCTTTTTCTTTGATGGAAAAGCTCAAATCTCTCCTAAGCTAATATATTTTCTCTGATTAACAATATAAGAGTGTGAGAGAGAAAGAGATATGAAGAGTGAGAGACTGAGAGAGAGACAAGTCGTCTAGAAGTTGTTAGGAAGACTGGATGATTTGCTTGAATTGACTGAAAAAACCGGAACTTGGCGAAAAGATGAGAAGAAAGTCAAGAATGACCAAAAGAAAATATTTTGAACGTTTCTCCCAAAAAAGTTATCGGAAAAACTGTTCTGCAATTCAATTTCATTTTCTTCAAGTCTCCAGAAGAGTATGGGAATGGTGTGAGTGAGCGGTGCAAGTTCGCAAAGTAGTTGCTTGTGCGATGTTGAAGTGTGGTGGTAGAAGAGGTGGTGTGGTAGCAGTGGTGGGAGATGAAAGATAATGAGAATTGAGATTGAAATAGTCAAATTCTGAATTAAAAAATGGGAAAAAACGGAAATTACCACGGAAATGTCGTATAAAAAATATGAAAGAAAAAAAAGAAATAAAATTGAGACTGAGAGAGCGTAGGTTGATGGAATGTAGCTTCAGTATATCATATGGTTAAGATTCGGAGACAGTTCCTCTCCATACCTCTTCTATATACTGAATGATAGCGGAAATTCAATCTGATGACTAGTTCAGACTCGAATTTGCATTTTTCATCAAATATTTTACATATAACTGTATAAAAACTCATTTGCATATGCCTTTTTTGGGTGAGAATGCGTTGTACTCAATGCTAATTTCATAATTATCCTCATCCCTCTCTCACTATCTCTCTCTATATATATGGAGATGCTGGTTTCAGGTTATTCATCAAACTGTTTCATCTCTAATCTTACGTGCTAACTGCCATGCGGGGTATCGTCCCACGTCTTAACGTCTTGTTCTCCCAAGAGCGTCCACGACAACATAGGATGATGGATGAATGGAGGTGCATATGCAGCTTCTTTACCCGTTTCTAAGTTTCATAGAGATGTGTTCATATATGAGTATGTTCAGTTTTTTCAAAATCTCCCAACCAACAAGACCACGTGTCATGTTCAAGATGAATGTTTGAAAATGGCGAACACGCGTTCGGTTTGTAAAAAACAGTTGAATTCCCAAAATACTTTTTTTGTACTTGACGTGCATTTCGTGCGAGCATGAGTTTCGAAAACATTCGAAATCTTCATGTCGGGTCCACGTGGAGTCCTGCGTGGAAGACCCACGTGCGTTGTTTACGTGAAACATGCGCATCTAATTGGCTCTCATTTAATTTTAGTTGCGGTGATGTTGACGGTTGCGTTTTTGACATTTATCGTTTTGTAGTTTGCCATATATGTATATATGTATGTATGTATGTGTATTGATGATATGATGTAGTAGGTGCTGTTAACGATTTTTAACTATATGTATATAGCATAAAGCTTTACGAATATGTAAGATCAACTGCCTGTTACCATAGTTACCATTTGTCCATCCAGTGCTTATAATGATGGACTGGCCCTTTTGGGAGCAGTGCATTTTTGACATTTTTAATCATGCTTTTACATTCGGAATGTTTATATTTAGAAGTTTGCCCTGAGGCGATTGTTATTATTGGCGATGATTTCTTCTTTTGTTTCACCGCATGCTGGCCTCTGGTCCTTACATTCGTCTTTCTTTTTTTTTGCATATGTTTGACCTTATGCACATGAAAAATATTTTTGTAATGAACGAGGGATAGGAGAAGGGTGGGTTGGATGCATGGATGGAAGGACAAATGGTGGTTGAGCCTGTGTTTTGGAGGCGAGCAGATTCTTCAGAGAGTCTCGACGCACACAACATGACCATCTGCCCTTATTTAGACCGTTTCATGAAGATTGTTTATTAAGTATAATATAATATTAGGAGAAACAGAGAAAACGCTATCTGGCAACATCATATGTATTGTAGAGAGTGAATGAGGGATGTGAGAGAAAAACAGACAATTGTATACAGCCTCAATCCCAATGTAGTAGAGAGGGTGGTGTGGTGAGGGGAGAAAGACTGGTCACGATGACTGCAATGAATTCGAGTCGATAATTGTCAACTCGGCACCTCTTCATTCCCTCCTTTTAAATACAAATTAAGAATATTCTTTTTTCTTTTCTCAATGTTTAAATGTTGTTTTTGAAATTGTTTTTATTGTCATGGAATGCCGAGAGAAGTTTGCATGAAATGTCTTGCACACACACACACACACACACATACATACACACAGCAACAGAATTGTCGTGTCCGCTCTCTCTTTGCCTCCTTCCCTGCTTCTTCCTTCTCTCCTCTCTCATTTTCCTTCTCTTCAAGTAGAAATTAAAGAATCGACGTGTTATTACGTAGAAAATGTGAAAAATTGAGGTGAGCTTGAGCAATTGTGATCTGGAAACCGAATAGTTCCTGTGTTTAAAACCAAAAAAACACGATTTCATTTTGTTTTATCGTATTATTTATGCGTATAGCTGAGGCTCCTATCCTGATTCTCAATCTGTCTCACACTTCTCTTCCTCCATTCCCCTTCATTCATTCCCTTTCTCTCTCTCTTTCCTTCTTTTTCAACGACTACGATTATACAGTGCTCATATGACTTTCAAGCCGTTTTTCATTTGACAGGTTGAATGGCAAAATGATTCCTTATATGGACAGGTGCTTAAAGATATTTCATTTCTATGAGTTATTTAATTCCTCCCACTTCTCCACCATCCATCTATAGCTATTTGCTTAGTTTGGATAAGCTGAATGCGCACAGCCTTCTTAGGTAGCGCCTTTAAAATATTGTCTTTCTTTTTTTAATATTTCAAACAGCTCCTTCTCTCTGTTGTTCCCTCTCTCACTTTGTCTCATTACTTCTTCCTCTTGGACGCTTTAACTCTTAAGCTTTCCTCTCTTTTCAAGGATTTTTAGTCTTTCGACCTTATACTCATTCAGATTTCTCCTTGATTTGAGCTTCACCCAACCGACTGTCCTTTTGACTGCTTCAAATGCTCGTTCCGACCTATCACCTTCTGCTATCCATCTCAACTCTTCTCAACTCTCTCTCTCTTTCTCTGTCATAGCCTCTTCTCTGTTCTCTCTGTGTTTTACCTCCGAACTTATATACTTTCCATAATTCGCTTAGATGTAAGTACAAGCATCCTTTGAATTCCATAAGAAGCAATTATCTATTGTGCAATGTGTTCTATTCAAAACCAAAAACGTATGAGGAAAGTTTGCGGTTAAACTTTCTTAGCAGTTTTTACTTTTCTTCATCCCAAACGATCCCTCTTCAACCGGTTTTTTCTTGTTTTTTTCTGATTCAACTCGTTTTTCCTTCTTTTGTTCATCGTTTTACCTGCGAGTTTCCTTTTTTTCCCTCTTCAATGGTTAAGCAAACAATCTAAAAAACCTTTTGCAGATGTCTGTATATTCCTAATTATTAAAATGCTGCGAGAAGCTTCAAGCGATGGTTCGTTCTTCATACCCTTTCTCTCTTACATGATAACCTTGCTTCAGAAGTACTTCGAGTCCCAAATGATCTCCACAATTACCGTGATCGCATCGATGCCGGATTGGAAATTGGAAAGAAAAATCGCGAAACAGTTAAAGATTTGACTGACCAGGTTTTCATCCATTCCCTCTCTCTCACCTCTTCCTATTTCCAGGTTCAAAGAATTCGAAAAAGAGCAGCTGAAGAAGCTTCTTCTTCTGCTTCCCTTTCTCATGTAAATATCACTTCACCCTCTCTCTATACTAATGTGTTAAGGTAGGTTCAGTTCACTTCTTACCTTCTATAGTATTGCTTACTTTCAGAGATAACTACTTGATCTCAGGTGATTCGGCGCGACAGATGAAGCCTCGACACAAAAGTCTTGGACGATTGGATCGTAACGATTCATTGTTAGAATTGAAAACAGTACATTCCCTAATATGTTGTCTTTCAGATGGTCTTCGGACGTTCTTCCAAGCCACCATCGGTCATCCCCCCGACTGAATATCTCTTCAGATGAAGCCGATTATGAGCAGGTCGAAAGCCTCTATTCAAAGCTGAAAGCTGAACTATTCAAGTAAGAAACAAAGATACAAATATGAATCGAAAACATCATTTGCAGAAACTCGACGTTAGAAGAGATGAACGAGATGTTACGAGAAGAGAACGATGCTGCATTACAGGCAAACGAAGGTAAACATCGGAATAGTAGTAGAACTTTGGCAATTTCATTTCTTCAGGATTACGCTCGGATGTTCAAAGCTTAACGAGAGCTCTGGAGAGCTTAGAGACGCAGCATCAGCAAGATCAAAACCGTTTCCAGTCTGAGAACCAGGTATGATGATACTAATGATTCTCCACCTCCCAAAGAGACTTGTTTGTCTGAGGTTTAATCGATTTTTAACTTTTTCATGCTTAAAGGGCCGAACTTCCTACTTAACATGAAATAGTTTTTGGTCCATTGACTAAGAAAAAATCATTTTTGAAGTCTATTTACCTGATTTTGTTTGAAATTTTCTCATTTTCTTCCTTTGACAGAGATATCGAAGCCACTTGGATAACCAACATCGGCAGCTAATTGCCTTATGGAAAGCGTTTACTTCCGTTAAGCGACAGGTACCTCCATTACCATTCCATGATTCATTTTTTATTTTTTCCTTCCTTTTGAGGTCCACGATTTACAAATCTCAACGACGAACGACATTGACAAGCAGAAGACCGAATTTGCTCGTTGTGCTTCAGCCATGCAGAGAGCTATCCGACAAGTGGAAACTAAAGTAACGCAATCCGATGAGTTCTCCTAAGCCTTCTGTATTACAGAAGAAAGCTCAAGAAGAACAGGAGAAGATGGATAAGGAAGAGCAGCTGGATGAGATAATCAAGAAGTACGAAGACGTCTATTCGCAAGTGCGAAAGGTATATCACGGATATGGATATTCATCATTACAATCTTCCTATGTTACAGATTGAGAAAGAGCTGCAAGACAAGAACGTCCAGCTTTCCAAAAAGGAACTAGAACTTCGACGAGCACGTGATGAGAATGAAGACATTCTGAATATGATCGAAAAAATTGAACGAATGCCCGAATTGTCTAGTGGAATTCAAAGGAAGCGAACACGCAGTGCCAGTCCAAAGAGTATTTACAAAGAAAATAATATTTGAATTTCTTGTCTTTTCTTCAGACGACTCAACGGATTTGATTCGTCGAATAAGAAACAGCATTTCTTCCAAAACAAAAGAACTGAGGGATTTGGAAGAGAAGTTGGAATCTGCTGATTCTGAAATACGACGTCTTCAAAAAGACTTAGACACTAAGAATCGAGGAGATCGAGAGAAGCGTGACTTGGATCGTCAAAATCGGGAAAGGAGTCGTGAGAGGTAGAGCCCATTATGAAGGTTCAGAAATGAAATTTATTTTGAAGAGAAATCAAAATCAAAAACTTGGATGCTGATCTTCTTCGTTTGAATAATAAAATCCAGGCAATGGAGGAGGAAAAGGAATCACGGGATAGTCTCGTTCAGAAGCTACATGACAACATGGCAGAGATTCATAGGTAACCCTCTACTCAAATCAGGAATAGTCTAATGTGAACGTATAGAAACCATAAACAATATCTGGAAGATTTGACTGTACGTCATCGTGATGAGATCAATACGAGGGAAGAAGCGTTCAACTCCGATTTGAAAAATAAGAGCGAAGAATATGAATTGAAACTTCTGAAGGTACGCATACTCTCCTGCAATATACATCAGAAGTTTTAAGATGAACCAAGAAAATGAGAGAAACCGGGCAGAGTTGGAAGAACTACGCCAAGTCTTACGGGAAATGAAAGCAGAGTCAATGAGTCTGAAGAAGACTATTGATGAGAAAGGTTTCCAATGATACAGATTTTCTCATCCAGAAAAACTATTCCAGAATTCAATATTCTGACTTTGGAAGAAAATCTGAGTGCTCTCAAAAACAAAGTGGAGTTAGAGACAAACAGGGCAGATGAGAAGGAGATGGAGATGGTCGAACTGAATGGTCGAATCGAAGAGTTCAAAGCCAAAGAAAGCGATCTGAGGAAAGAGCTTCTTGAGGTTTTCTGTTCTCATCTTCTATCAAATAAGTTTTCTCTGTAGATACAAAACCACAACGATGTTCTTAATATGGAAACGAAGCAATCTACCGAGTTGATGACCAATCTTCGGTCGGAAGTCTCTGAACTTTATGAGAAGTTGGACGCTGCCAGTCACACAGAAGAACGTGAGTTGCTATTCGGCACGTTTCAGTTTCTGACCATAGCTTTCTCAGAAATCCGTGGTCAGCTGGAAAATCAAGTGAACAACACTAGCGAGTTGAATGATTTGCTGAAATCGTTGAAAACGACAATTCAGGATTTGGAAGTCAAATTAGAAGCTGTATGAAGTTCCTTTTTTGATCTTTGAATAGGGTGTTCTTCTTAAGACAATGGAAGACGTTCGTATGGCTCGCGATGATTCTGATAACAACAGGCATTTGTTCAAAGAAAAAGTCAAAGAAGTCACAGAGATCACAAAGATTCTGGAAGATCTGAAGAGAGAGAAAGAAGTTTTCATTGACGATTTCAATACTGTGAAGACCGAGAAAGACAATTTCTCTAGCAAAGTCATTGAAATCGAGAAAGAGATCCAACAGAAGAATCAGAATGTAAGAACGGTAGTTTGACAATGCTATAAGCAATGATTCAAGGAAGAGCAGTTGCGACGGTTGATGGAAGAACTTCGGGATGGATTGGAGAGCAAGAAGGAAGAGTCTCAGCAACGTCAGATAAGAATCGAAGACTTAGAAGGTTTGTGATTAACGTTATGAACTACAAGCAAGATGAACGTTTCAGCTCAATTAGAAACTTCAAACGCCAATAACGGGAAGCTCGAGGAAATCCAGAAGGCAGAGCTGCTGCGAAGAGAAGAAATTCAGAAGGTCAAAGACTTGGAGAATGAGCAAATGCTGCAGTCCCAGACTGAAGTCTCAACCAAAGAAATTGTAATTGAAACTCTTTATCTTCTAATGAATATGATACTTTTTAAGAAAAAGTTGGAAAAGCATCTAAAAGGCGCTGAAGAACGCCTGGGAGAGCTTACGACTCTTCACGAGAAGTTAATGGAAGAAGAGTTGGAACTCCGAATGAAGCTCGATGAAACAAAGTAAATCATCTAGCCAATCACCTTATAAGCTGTAAATAATTTCTAGAGAGGAAATGGAACAGTCAAATGCTAAAAATAAAAAAGAGATCGAAGGTCTGACAGCTCAGAATCAACAGGAAAGGGAAGAGTGGGATGATGAGAGAGCTCAGGTTCATTTGCTCGTTCTTTGAAAAAATGGGAAAAGCTTTTTTCAGCTTGAGAAAGCAAAGGCGAATGCTATTGGAAAAATGAGAGAAGAACTGGAGAAAGCTGAAGAAGAAGTGAAAGAAGGTGCAACGAGAGAAGACAACCTCCAGAAAACGATTGATGAGTTGAACGAGCAAATAGAACATCTCGAGAAAAAATCTTCTGAAGTTAATCGGAACGTCGAAGAGAGAAGGTTAGTATCGTCAGTCGTTCCTCGTTCGTAAGGAGAGATTCATGTTTTCAGCTATGACCTGAAGATGAAAGAGAAAGAACTGGAAGATGATCGACGAGCATTGAACGTTGAAATGGAAGAACTCCATTTGAAGGTATGTTTGTTTTTTGAGTTTGTTTTCCTCACCTGAAAACAACAACAAGCCTACTGACCTTTCCGATCGAAAAGCCAAAAGCTTTGTTGGCTTTCCCCTTTATAAATGGTCTTGATGAGAACTCGAGCAGAAACGAATCTTTCGTAAATGCTTGCCAGCTTAGAAAACAGCTTAATCTGGCTTACGAAGCCGAAATTATCCTTAAGGAAAGGAAAATATATCCTAGATTCTTTCCTGTCCCTCAATTCTAATTCATGTCTGATGGTTTTTCAGTTGATCAAGTTATCTGGAGATTTGCAAGAGAGCCAACGGAAGGTAGCAAATCTAGAGAAGGAGGCCCTGAAGACAGAAATGGTTCTGACCAAAAGTTCGTTTCACACTTTTTTCATTCTCAGAGACAGAATATTTCAGAAACAGCTTCCTTGGCGGAGTTCGAAGATAAAATAGATTCTTTGATGAGAAACGTACTTGATCATGAGAGAGCTGAAAACGATTTGAAAGACAAGTTCGCCGTTCTGGAGAGGGAAAACTCAGAATTGAAATCAACGAAGGAGCGAGTTCAGAAGAAACTACAAGATGAACTCTCCAGGAATCAAGGTATAGATTATATTCATTCAAATATAAACATATAACCTTGGAAATTCAGAATTGGAAAACCGTCTCAGAGAAGCTAACAAAGGAATTCAGAATGTCAAAGTAAGAAACCAGATCGAGGATGAAATGAAAGCTGAAAGAGATACGAAGTTACAACAACTAGCGAACAAAGTAACACCTTCAATGTTTTACGAAATAACCTTCTGTTTTATAGAAGAAGCAACTAGAGCTCGAGTTGGCAGATAGCCAGGCTAAGGCTGATTCAAATTCTGGTCTTGTAAAGAAAATTGAAAATGAAATGGCATTGATTGGACAGGAGCTACGGAACGAAAAGAGCAAAGTGGGTTACTGTTTTATCGGAACTCACTCATAATGAATTTCAGAACTTGGAATTATCAAAAAGTAATGGAGAGCTTCGTCATTCGGTCAAACATTTGTCCGAAGAATTGGAATCAGCCCGTAGTTCTTTGGAAAAGAAAATAGCTTCCAGTAGGCAGGCGAATGCAGACCTTCTTTCTAATTATCGCGAGGTTGTTTTGGATTGAAAAATGATAATTTTCTTTCTTCTTCAGTCTGAAAAACGTGCCGTCGATCTTCAGACTGAATGTGAACAACTGAGAGGCCAAATTGCTACTCTGACGTGAGTTATTACCTAAGTACTCTCGATAAAGTGAAAGCACGACCGCTCAATAGAAGCTATTGCTTGAGAAAATGAAAATTCCCAAGGGTGTACGACCGCTAACTTGAAATTTTACGTGAAATGAAAACGTCGATTTCGTTTGACCACCGCTCACTGATTTTATTTCTACGAATGATATTGCTCTGTCAGCGTAGTAGGAATCTGTGAACGATCGTTTCTCAACTTGCGCTTCGTAAAAAATGAAATGGGGATAAACTGCGACATTCCTTGAAACTATGACGTGATAACGCTATAAGTGAAAGTTTCAGCTTGAAATTAGAACGAATGGAAACGAAGAAAAGAGATGTTGAACGCCGTTGTGACGACATGGATGCACGAAACTCGGAGTTGAGTCGTCGTTTGAATCAGTACGAGCGTAGTGCTCGCATGGCTCTAAATTTATCAAGTGGGAATGAAGCGTTAAACGAAGGTTTTAAAGTTAATTTCCAGTGGGACCTCAAAGCAATATGAGGCCAGGTGTTTCTACTACGGACCTTCCTCGTTCAGCTCTGTCTGGTAGGATAAGCTGTGTTAATGATTATTAATGATAAGATTTAGGAATCAGTGAGCCTCATTCAATCATCAGAGCTGCCACTAGCTCAGCCGATCTATCAATGAGACATAGTCCAGACAAAGCGGTACATAGTCAGAATTTCTATTTATAGAACAATGATCTTTTCAGGTTCATTTCAACGATGATTTGGATATTGGTGGACAGTTGGATATGAGTTCATCTATGGACATCACATTGAGATATTTGAAAGAAAGAATAACTCAATTAGAGCGAGATAAAAGCTCGTTGGCTTCCGAAATTGACGACAAGACCTTCGATTTGAAGAACAATAAGAAGCAATTGGAAGAAGCTACCTCTTTGCTCAAGGAAATGGAAAAGAAATTGAACTCAATGGAGGACGGTCAGTGATGATCATCATTCGCTTGTAAACAAAATTGGTTCCAGATAATCGAGCTTTAGAGAATCGTCTTGCTAGTCAACGACAACTTTACTTATCCAACGAAGAAACTAACCGTAGCCGAGAATCTGAACAAAGAACTTTGAAGTCCAAAATATCCAATTTCGAGATTCATTTAAGAGAGAAAGATAGCAAACTGACGCAAATGATGGTAAGATACTTTCTTGAAATATTTCATCTGAAAATCTGGTTCGTTCAGTCACAGCTTGAAGCCTTGCGTCTCGAATTGGCGTCTGTAAACGGAGAGAAACAGAAGCTGTTCTCCAACCTCAAATCAGCAGAAGAAGATCTCCGAGATACTGAAGATGAGAAGAAGGCTATTGAAATGGAACGGAACCGATTCCAACGAAGTCATAAAGAGCTTCAGGAAGATCTTAAAGTGAGTAGATTTCTTCATGCGACTGAATGCCATGTACCAGATAATACTAAGTTGAATCTTTCAGGCCGTCACCAAACGTTTTGAAATTGCTGAAGAAGACAGATCCAAATGGGAGAAGTCCTATCACGAGCTAAAAAGAAGCTCCCAGAGCGATCGTGATAATCTTGAAAAGCTTCAAGCTGAGGAGAGACATTGGAGATTAACGGTTTGGTGACATTGGCAACAATCAGAATCAAACTTTTATTTGAAGGCCGTGAATGTCAAGAAAAGTTCAGATGATTTTCACAAGCAAAAGTACGACGATAAGCTTGCGAACCTTCAGCACAGCCACGATGCCGCTGTTGGACGTTACGAGGCGGCTCTAGCTGATTCCGATAGACTGCGGTATTAGTTAAAGATCTTGACCAGTGTGATTCCATAATTCAGACAAGAGTTGCGTGATTACAATCAGAAAATCATAAGTTTGAACACGAAGTTGGCTGACGTCGAGAACAAGGCCGCAGCGGATCGTGAACATCGACAGAATCTGAGCCAGCAGATTGCCTCATTCCAAAAGATCGAAGTTGAATGGAACCGAATGGAAAAAGAAATGCGGGAAGAACTGAAAATTCTGAGAAAGGAGAAGCTTCATTTGACTTCTGAAGTTGAGGATCACAAACGCAAATTCACGAGAGTTGATATTGAAAGGAAAGAGTTGGACTCTATCCGTGCACGTTTGGAACGAGAAATTGCTGCCCTGAAGAAGCATTTGACGGCTGTGAGTTTTTCTCCTATCACTCGTGCTGCCTATTTGTCAACCATTACAAGAATACATGTAACTTTTCTTTTCAGCTAGAGGAAGATCGCAATCGGATGGATTCAGCTGTCAGAGAGACCATGTCTGAACGGAAGGCTATCGATAAGTCACTGGCTGCAATGGAAAAAGAGAACTCAGAGCTTTATCGCAACTGTTCCCAGCTGCAAGCTCAGGTACGATTAGTGAATAGAGACAAGCAACATCACTTTTCTCAGATTCAACAATTAGAAAAAGATAGCAGTCAGAGAACTGTCAGCAAGTTAATGAAAGAACAAGCTTCATTTGAAAATCGCATTAACAAGCTATCGCAAGATAAGAAGCAGGTATGACTCGAAAGATATCTGAGTAGTCTCACACATGCATTGCAGTTAGAAATTCTGTTGGAGCAACGTGAAAACGCTTTCACTCACAAAAGAAAAATGCTCGAGTCCCAGCTATCACTTTTGCGTGAACAGCTAGAAGCTGAACGTCGTCGTCGCACATCTGGCCGATTTGATCGTTCAACAGACAGTCGAATGAGTCGTTCAACAGCAGCTGGAACTCCGTCCAGTGGTACAGCATCACGCGGTGTAGGGAAAAGTCCATTTAGGGTATGATATTGAGAGAAGCTCAAAGCTCATCTTAACAAAGCTTCATTCTTAAGTTCAAAACTGCACATTAAATGAGAACGAAATGAGAAAATACAAAAACCTTTCAGCTTTTGCCCACTTCAACCGAGAATTTCTTAAATATGAATAGAAGCACGTATTCTTAGAATTTCTTATTTCTTTTTTAGGAAAAGATCTCAACATCTTGCACTTCACTTAGCAAAATACAAGCAATCTCACCAACTCAAAAATATACAAAAATAGTCAAAATTCACAGCACTTCAGGTGAAAGCAATCATCTGCCGTCTCTATCCGCACCTCTTTAGATGCGTCACAGAGTAGAGTAAGCTCATAGTTATCTTATTTATTCTGTAAATAACTTATATCATTCTCATATACGTCTAGTCCATTACTGCCATTCCATTTCCCCCCTAACTAACCTACCCCCCCACCCCTTCCGAGTGATCTCTTTCGTCTACTTCTTTCCTTCTCTTTCTCATTCATGTACCATACCATATACCCTTTTAGAGATTTTATAGAGATTTTCATAGAGATTTTAATAATTTATTTAATTTTTTTGGAAACTATTCTTAGTTTAATAAATGCTTCCAACTAATCTACCCATTTTCAGTTCAATGCACAACGATTATCGATTGATAAACAAAACTCATTTTTTCTATTTTCAGATGAAATATCAATGTTGTGATGTGTTGTATAGTGCTAGTCAATCTTCAACAGCTTCTTCAGTAGCTTACAGTTTCTATGATACCGACACGTTGACCAGTCGGGAAACTTTAATATTATAGGAAATGAATGTAGTGTAGAGTAGTATAGGGATTCTCGTCACTCAACTACATACGGGTTCTTCACTGTCTGCAGATGGTGTTGTTTCATGGCATTTCTGTCTTCTTCTATTCACTTTTTTATTATTTAAATTATTATTTTTAGGATAAAAAAAAATAAAATATTATACAAAGATTTGTCTAACGATGAATTGCAATAATCGACGTCATTACAGAAGCAGTACGTAAATCTGAAAGAAACACATTAGAAGCATATGAAGTTAGAAGAGATTAAGCTGAATACAACCGCTCTGCACGAAACAAACAGCATGAATGCATCCCACCCGCCGTTTGAATTTATGGCGTCACGTGGATTACACGTGAGACGCAGACGTGATTTACGAGCATTTCATGTTAACATGAGCATATGCAAATTACAGATGATGATGATCAATATGTTTGTTAGCGAGCAGATGTTGAAAAAAAGTTTTGAAAACTAACGTTTTTGGCGGTACTGAACCATCAATCATCGTATAGCACATTTGATTTGAAACAAAAGTTTGATTTGACGGTGTAAGCGATAGTGTATTTTGAAACCTTAACAAGTAGGATAATTGGAACCAAACAACAAGTTACGTACCAACAATCCGAACGAAACGTTGTGTATCTTACTGCTGGAGCCATAGGATCAATGATTTTCACGCAAAACTGATCAGTCTGAATATGAAAGTAAGTCATTTCAATGAAGTTGATAACAAACTTGGCAATGATTGTTGCGATTGTCACAGGTACTAGGCGAATCTTCATTCTTGGGATGAAAGCCGTGCGCTCCTTCGCACTGAGCACACCTCAAAGCTGAAAGTGATTTTCGAAATTTATTATTTATTTGAATTCAGATATGTTCCTACCTGTAACTGAGATGATGGTGATGGACAGAAGAATCAACAGTGAGACGAAGAAATTCATGAAGAAGATGAGGGAAACGGAGAGGAACGCTGATAATGATCTGAACAACAGGTAAGTCTATCATATAGTTTGTGAGAGAGAGAGTGTTTCATGACGTGAAAGAGATGTGGAAAAAAAGAGGAAAAAACCATTATTGCTCGAAGGCAGCCACGTTTGCTTCTCTGAGTGATAAAGGAGAATTCCATGTGTGTTGAATGTTTTTTTTGTGAACTTCAGATCATTTTTGTAGTTGTAAAGAGGGATAAAAGCCTTTTCAAAATATAGAGAGATGCAGAGAGCAAGAGGAAAAGCTGAAGAGAAGCAGAGAGAGAGAGAGAGACAGAGAGATAGGTTAAGGGAGGAAGTGAGAAGGAGTTTTATGAATAATTTAAAGAAGAAAAAGCTTTTAAAAGTTGAAAAATCTGTTGTACTTGAGATTCAGATGGATGTAGACGTTAGAAGGAAGACGTTTAAAAATCATAAATTATGTGGCCACCACGATTTATACACCCCATTAGAAGGGGCCAGCTGACGGTTCTTAACCATGCCGCCGAAGTTGCAAATCTATAGGTTATACAGGAAAAATATTTAATTAAATAGCTGACTTGGAGGGAGGAGAAGCTATTAAGAGGGTTGAGTGTGAATTTTTTTTATTTTAAAATAGAGAGAAAGAGGAAGGGAGAGAGAGAGAGTGAGAGAGAGAGTGGGGAGGGAGAGAACGTAGTGAAAGAATGAAACTAAAGAGAAGAAAAGTCAAAAGGAGAATGAGCTATAGAATGAACGATTATTCAGAACTTCTATTCACATGGTAATGATTGAGATTTCTTTAGAAAAAAAGCTTTTCACAAATAATTTTCATAGCTTTTCCAATATTTTTTGAAAAAGAGAGAAGTCAAGAAAACACATGAGAGCAGCAACAGCTTCTTGTTCATCTTCTTCTTCTTCGTAAAGAAATTGAGAAGCTCATAAAAAGGAAAATTAAGAGCTTTTAGATATTTCAATCTAACACATTACATTCATCGATTACATGAAACATCAAGAATCTTCTGAATTTTCAGTACAAAGAGGATTCCCCCCCCCCCCACATGATCCTTGTTCACATCAACTTCATGGACTACCCTCTTCACTACCAATCATGGCTTTTGTCACCTTTGGAACCCAATATCCCATGCAACTGGTGCATCTCTTCATGTACAATGCTCTTGTCCCTCTATGCACTTCCATGTCTTCCATCTTCCAATTATCAAAGATGTTTGTGTGAACATTGCATGTCCAGACATCCAAGTGCTGATCTCTTAGACAAATCAAATCGTTTTTGATGGCTCAAAAAACCTTTTTATCTCATCGCCTTCTTGTCAGGACCATTAAAAACGAATTTTCATTCGTCCATAAAAAATAATATCCTGTTAGAAGTTATTTGATAGCAGAAAGAAAAAAGAGGAAAAGAAAATCGAAGAGTCAGACCGGATAGTCGCAGATGTACGTGGTGTAAGGAGAAGGCGAAAATCTGACGTCAACTCTCATTTCTTTTTTTTTTTTGATTCTCCTGCTGTCAACATCGTTTTTGCAGATGAATGAAAGGTATTTTCGAGTTTCGGATAGAGCTCTAGGACAGCTTCCACCAGCATCTTCTTCTCCTTGTTGCGTCAGTCGGTAGGTTTTTGCTGTCATTGGCTTGTTGAGCTTCAATATCCCCCAATGAGTTGTGTATGGTGTTAGCAGTACTGAAGATCATCATTTGAGGAAGAGAGAGAGAGAGAGAGAGAGGGGTTGTCACCTCTGTTATGTCCATCAGAGAGGTGCAAATCCCTTCATTTGGTTTGTTTTCTTTCTCCCAACTGACAGCTTTTACCAACAACTTCTTTGTCCCAAACTGGAAAACTGAAAAAGAACGGCAACGTTTGGGAGAAAAAGAAATTCAGTGAGAAGACAAATCATTCTTGTCTATTTTCAGACCGAATGTTATTTAAAATATCTTTTATTATTATTATAATTTATGCTAATATCCAAGTTTATGCGGTAAGTTAGAGAGCTCATGCACGAGAAGGGGGAAGAGGAAGCTTTTCCCTGTTCATTGCAGCTTCCTCTTTTCTGTTCTTCAAGCAAAGCAAACTCCCTCGCATTTTTGCATTTTTGAATAATTTTGAGAAATTAAAAATCAACTGCATCAGTAATGAACTGTTCGTATGTGTCTCTGTGTTTCAGCATTCGCCAACGTTCGTCGCTGAATCTGGTCAACTGACGGTAGTGGACGAGAATGCTGTTCTGCTTTCACCCAAACTATCAACTCAGTTGGTTGACGGTGCCGTTCTTAATCCAGCGTATGTTTTGAATTCTCATCTTAACGTCATAGTCATAGTAGCAGCTGCCCATGCTGTACAGTAGAGAGTAGAAGTAGCGTAATAGGGAATGAGTGGCATCAATGTGCTTATAAGGAAATATTATTTTCGAAATTGCTTTCAGACTTCGACGACATCGCCATCGAAAACATATTGTCACCAAAAAACAGGTAATTATACGTATAGTTTATCTACATATAAATCTCATATATGAAGATAACCAGAAGAATAGTTGGCGAAGGTCGACGAAAACCAAGACGACCAGCTGATGCGAAGGAAATTGTTGAAAAAAAACTTCGACGCGGCACAAGTGCTAATGCCAACGATTGGACTTTATTCCGACGAACCACAATCGCCACGCCGACCCATTAAAGATACACACAACACACGTTTGCAACAAGAAAATATCTTTACAGTCTTTGCATTCTTTATTTGTTTCATCTATATCACATAGTGTAGAGAGAACGGTTCATCCGCTTCGCTTAGCCACAACTGCCGTGTCTGCTTCCTGCAACACACACACATGCGTCTCTCCAGGCGAAGCACAAAAAGATTTTTTATTTTTTTCAAAAACTCACATAAATCTTCATATAGTTCTGAAGTTGATTACCAAGAATTCTTCCAAATACCATATGGTCCAGTTGAGATAGTATCTGAGATTTCAATATGAGACTTGGCATCCTTTCAAATTCATATTACTTTGGCTGCAGCTAAGGCAGCTTCATCTGCCGTCAAAACCGTTGAACATCCAATTCCAGATGGAGTTCGAAGTGATGACCAAACATCGTTTATTCCATTGAGATCAGATGATGCTGGTGGTGGACAATTGATTACCTCAACATATCATTTTTTATATTTTTCAAACATTTTTTCAATTTTTACAGGTAAAGTTGTATTCCCGCCAATTACAAGGCCCAAACCATTCGAACGTCCGGCTACGGCAATGACGACTGTTGGAACGAAGTCCTGCTCATACTCCGAAAGGATTTCTAATGTTTCACTTGTTGACTGAACAATTTAAATTATTATTATTATTGTTGTTATATTCATTATGCTAATTACCTTATGTGCTGAGCTGATGCGTAGACGGGTTTCCATTCCCAGCTTCTGACATCCTTTCTCGATTTTTCGACAGAAGTCCATGTCCGAGGATGAGCCCATGATGATGAGCACTCGGGACTTGGTGCTGCCCAGGAAACCTTCGGTCAGGTTCATAACCTAAATTGGGGTGTTGTCTTTTGAAATATTGCGGTCTCTCCAAAACAAACTTTCTCATAATTCGAAATGAGCTGGCTCAAAGCTTCAGATGTAACTTCTGGCATTTCGCGGAAGAACTGCTTATCCAATTGGAGTCGTTTATCTCCAGAAGGCCAGACTCGCCATGAGTCGTTGTCAATAACATCGCTAAGGATGATCTTTCCGGATGTATTGACTCCAAACTCGATCTGTAGAGAGGCATAGGTAAACTCTTAAGACATGAATGTATACCTTCATATCAATCAATGAACAATCGGAGAGAGACCAAGCTTTCTCTAAAGCTCGGAAAATCAATGACGTCAGCTTCTTCATGAGTAGCACCTTTCGAATGGTTTAGAATTCATTTTCAGTTTTATAATTTGAAAACCTCAGTTTTTCCAATCTTGAGAGAATTGTATTTGAAACCAGCGGAAATGATCTGTTCATCAGACCATTGTGGGTCATCCTGTTCATCATCCTTGAAGAAGGTTTCAATCTTGGGATCGGAGAATCGGTATCCCTGTTTAACACCAGGGTTTCGTTTGAGGAACGATCCTGTAGCAATGCGTCTGGCAACCCATTCGATTGGAATCATTTCACATCTCTGAGCAAGGAACTCCGTATCACTACGACTGGCAACGAAGTGTGTTGGAATACCTTAAAGAAACGGTTTCAATCATGATGCTTGTTGATAAGACTGAACCAATATCATTGAGATACTGAAAGACATGCGTTGTTGTCTTGTTGGCTATTCGTCCTTTGCCTTCAACATCGCTTTTGCGAGCTGCGTTAAAGGCTGTCAGCTGATCTTTGGAGCGGATAAGAACGACATCCTTTAATTATATCATATAGTATAAGAAATTAAATAATGTCTTACAGCATTTCCGTGAATGCCGAAGATTTCTTTCGTCTTGCCTTCAGCCAGTTTTTCAAAGTTAAGCTGTTCCTCAGAGGTAAGATCCGGCATAATGATAGAAGATGTTGTAGAGCTTTATCTTCTGAATGACCAAACTAGAGAGAGAGTAAGAGAGAGATAGAGAGAGAGAGAGATGGATGAATGAATGAAGTGATGCCGGAACAAAGTAAGCGACTGAATTGAATGTTGTTTGGTGGAGCAAAAACTTGTTTCGCTCCCTTATCATCAACAACAAGTACAAATTAATATTTTCTTTTTTTAAAAAAATATTTTTAGAACGAGATATGATCGTCGATTAGATGCCTCACACACACACACACACGTACACAGAGAGAGAGAGACTCATACACGTTCCTTCACACACACAGACGTCGGCATCAGCATCTACACGAGGCATGAACACACACACATACATAGATAAGAGAACACAAATTAGAATAAATGACATAAAAGGACATGGTAAGATTGTATTTTTCAATGAAAATAACATGATCCTCCCTTGTATGGTCTGATCTTCGAACTTTGACTGTCTTGATCGATTGGAATGTTTTCTTAGAAAGTAGGTCAGTCAATTGATGATTCATCTCTGAAACTGCATGTTACTTGTTATATGATTTATAGTATTTGAATTGTATATGTCATTGTCTAATTAGCATAATCAATAGAATAACTTGTTTATTATCACATAGTTATGATGACATATAAGGGAAGCAAGGGGGGTGCTCTATAGCTGGCTGGGTATATGTGTAGTGTGAGAGGGCATGACAGAGCGAATTCAAAAAACAGCTGATGCCAAAGGAAAACAACCTATGCATTGGCAATCTGTACTATCCGTACATCCAACACAGTCTTTCTTCATTCAAGAAACGGAGGAGAAGGAATATGAAAGTGAAAATGATTCGTCGTTGTTCCAAGCTATGTCCACCACGTCATTATCTTCTCTGAATAGAAGTTCCATGTAATTTCAATTCTTACGTGTCTGAGCTTCATCCTTGTAAAGACTTTGGTTGATGGCACACAAACAACGAAAGCCTTTTCAGAATGAAAACAATTGGCATTTTGAATAAAAGAAAAGACGGAAATGATTGAGGATGAAGGTGGATGATGATGTAGATGAGACGGTGAAACAAGAAAAGGTAAAGCCATATAAGGAGATTCTATAGACACACACACACACACACGTCATCCATCCTGAGTATGAAAATGAAATATTCTGAAAAAAGAAAATTTCAAAGAGTAAAAGAATTATTTATGTATGCAATTTTTCAAATAATTATTCCTTTTATGATATGTTGAGAGGGAAGAAGCTTTCCAAGAGAAGCCGCTTCTTCTTGCATTTCATCGTTTTCAGCTTTTCCTTCATTCGCTCTCTTCCTCCCTCCTCCTCTTCTGTCTCAGTTCTTACTTCTGTGTCATCTATTGGAAGAGGAAATGAAAAGTATTTTTTTCTTTTCAGATCTTCTTTATCTCCCTCCCTCCCTCGTTCCCTCCCTCTCTCCCTCCTAAGTCATTTGGTGGTTACAGAAGACACCAAACCTCTCTTCCCTCCGTTTTCAAACATTTATTGAAATTAAAAATAATATTTTTCTTTTGCATTTAAAAAGAATTTGAAGCTTCTACTCCCCCTCCCTTCATGCAATCAGCTTGCAATGAGCTGCCTGTTAAGAGGATGAACTTTCTCCCAAATGTGTTGTTCTCTCATCTCTGTAGTGCTGTAGTTATCGTTCACCTCTTTATCACCTCACATATCATCATTCTCCCTATCATCCCCTCTTTCTCTAATTCTCTCTCACTCTCTCCCTATCTCGTAGTTTCGAAAGAGTTCTTTAGAAAACTTTTTGAGAAATAAACCATTTCCTTTCAGATATTTTTATAGTGGTTATTGTTCTTTCAACACATACACAGAGAGATAGAGAGTGATGAAGAGTGATAGAGAGGGAGTGAGAGTGAATATACTTTAATCTCTCCTCTCCCTCTCTTCCTCTCCCCCTCACTCCTTCAACAGAGATGTTCTTTCAATTGTCTAATCGGCTGAAAATCCAATTTCTTCTATTAATCTCATGCATTCACTCTTATTAAAATAAAAAAAAGAAAAAAGAAAGATCAGAAGGCCATTTGCCATTTCTTTGTCGTTTATCATCATCATCCCTCTCTATGCTCTCCTCATTCTCCATACTCTATTCCCCCTAACCGTATAAGGTAAAAGAATATAATAAGAAAAATGTATTTTTCCCTCCCTCGTATCATAAATAAACACAAACAAGCCAATTGGCATTTGCGCAACCTTTCGTTCATTTCAATCAGCAACGACCCCGGCCGATCCCCCTCCCCCCAAATGACTTTCGGTCATTCGCCCAATAGCACCGATTGTTTCATTTTTCTTTTCTTTTTTTTTTTATTTATTTTGTTTATATTATTTCATTATTATTGATGTAATTTCCTGTTCTCATATCATCTTCTTCCCTCCTTTTCCCTCCTTTGCTCGCCCTCTGAAAGGAAGTTGTCGATGGGTCAGAGAGGATAAGCGGCGCGTGTTTTGAAATTTCAGATGGAAAAAGATAAAGAGAGAGTTAGAGAGAGAGAGAGAGTGAAAGGTATAAAGTATAAGAGAAACGAGATGTTTTCTTTCATAATCTAATAACAGATAAACAACAAAACAACACAAAAAAGTAAAAAAAGTTGTGAAAGAGGGGGAAGGGGAGGAGGAGATTCTGAGAGAGTTTTGTGTGATTTGACCCATTCGATAGTCTGGAAGGGTCAAAGTCAGTCTGTTTGCGTGTCACTTACTTTATATGTTTTATCAGATTTTTATTTTTTAAAAATTATATTTTGTTATTCGCTTGTGTTGGCAATCATAATCACTTTCGCAACATTTCTTGAGAGAGAGAGAGGGAAGGAGAGAGAGAGAGAGAACTAGAAGGAAGAAGGTTGAAGAGAGCATTGTAAGAGTGAATGAGGTAATGTCTGTTAATAGTTTGCTGACAAATCATGACATATCCATTGAAACATTTTCATTTTCGATTGTTGATGCACGTTGAACAGTTTTGTTTGAAAAGATCTTCTCGTCTAATTGAAACTAATTGATGTTTTTTCGTTTCATTTTGACATTTTCTGTAAACGATAATAGAAAGGCTATTCCTTTCCATCTCATCACGAATATAATTATAATTTCTGTGTGAACGAACGTGTGTTGGATGGCTGACATCGCAAACGTTGCCACCACCACCACCACCACCACACATCTCCCCCACCACCCACACGCAAACACATAACCGTTCGCTTGTTAACGTTCGTTGATGATAAGATGTTCCTCATCATCATCGAACGGCTGAAGCAGAAGGCGAATGAGAGTAAAGCCACTCTGACTTATACCTGTCGGCATATTCCTCTCCTATACTTCTCATCTTCTACACTTTTACAATCAAAATTATTTCTCATCAACCTGTCTATCTTCCCTGCTCCTGTTCCTCCATCTTCTACTTTACTTCATTTCTGTCTATGCTGTTATACTGCGAGAAGCGCATTTTTGATTTGTGTCACTTTCATTCTCAATGTAAGAATATTGGGTAGAGCGGTTGTGCTCCAGCTTCATCTCCTCCAGCCATTTGTTTCTTTTTATTTTCCGCGCACTTTTGAAGAAGAGCGGTTGTGTTTCATTTTAAGTTTCGTTAGGTTCCCTTGAAAGGTTTTCTTTTCCGTTCCTGTTGTTCTTCCTACCAACTTTGACAACAAAAAAGAAGCGAAAGAAAATAGAGAGAGAGGGAGAAGGAGAAGAGAGAGAGAGAAAGATAGAGGTTTGAAGAGATGAAGCAGGAGGAAGAGAGGAAGAAAATGAATTTTGCATTGGATAGATGATGCATCAACCTTTTTACTTTATATTTTCCATCTCCCTCCAGACATAAGAGAAGTTGAATAATACGGATATGCGGAAATCTGATACGCCAACTTTCTTTTTTTTCTTTTTTTTTTACAAAACAAAATAGAAAAAGCGTTTTGTGCGCATAAATCGCGTTGCTGCTTAACCTCGGTTCTCCCATCCTGCCGCCCATCTTTCCACACTCATAACCATATATGGCTTCCGGTGACCGAACTTCTTTTTTCTTGTTGTTTTCTTTCCGCTGTGTCTTGTAACTGCCAAAAAAAGTAAAATTCGGAAAAATGACGAAAGTTATCGACCGATCTTCGGTTTTTCACTGTTTCGCCTTCATCCAACTCCATCCCTCCCTATCTTACCATATTTGGCAAAAAACGACTGTTCACTTCCACAATTCGAATGTTCCTACTTCCTTTTTTTTTTCTTTATTTTCCTCTAATTTTTAAAAAAGTCTCGCGCTCTTTTTCTTATTCAGCCTCTCTCGAGGTCACATACTGTCTCTTACAGTTCACTCGTCTCACTTCGAAACATGCTGGGTTCTCGTTCGCTTCCTTTTCATCTTTTAATTATTATTATTTTAAAAATGTTTCATTTTTATTATAATTTTTGAACATTTTACATGAGAGAGTGTGTGTTCTAGAGATTCAGATAGTGAGAGAGGAAGAGAGAGGTGGTTTCTTTGAATTTTTATTGACTCGTTTGTACTCTTGATCAATCTCACTGACCTAACCCGTAGTGTTAGGCTGAGTGAGAAGTACCCAAGGTATTATTCATTTGTTTTTTTTTATTTATTTCATTCATAGAATAACTTTCAAACAGTCCTTATATGTATGTCTGACCTTATCTCATTCTAAATATTTCTTTTTTCAGATTTTTTAAATTTTTTATTTCACATGATGGCTCTGTCAACTGATCCTGCCTTGAGCTTGAGCCAGTTTCTTGCAAACTCGCAGGTAAGCACTGTTAGTGTATAATAGTGGAAGAAGCTTGTTCTTCCTTGTTTATCCCGTTAGTCACTATGAATATAAAATGCTTTTTGTAGGCTTTCTTGAACCGTTCACCCGACAAGGTACCTAATATGGAAGAGATATTGCAACGAATGATCTCTGGCGAAATGGCCGTCTTCGGAAACAACCCATTGGTATCATTTTCATTTTCATTTTTTTGTTTATTTCCCTTCTGTTTGTAAATGTTACAATCAGTTTTTAAAAGATATTTGGTGGTAGTTTCGGTTTTCTTTGTTAAAACCATATATGGCAATCGATAACTCAAAAAATGTTCATTTCGGTTGGGAAAGTTGAGAAAGAACATCTTGGACGGATTAAGACCCATTTGAACTTTCTCTCTCTCTTCTCTCTCTCTTTTCTATCATCTCTCTTCCCCCTCTTCCTCTCTCTATCTCATTCCCTCCTTTTTTTGCAGAAAAAATGAAAATATTAAAAAATGCTTTTACAGCAAACTGATATGTCAAATCTGGTCTCGTCCGGCAGCACTTCGCCTCGCAATGATAGTCCAAACAGTGAAGAAGCAGTTGTAGATACTCCAATGCAGAATAAGGAACCAAGGTAATTGAAGAATTATTTTTTTGTCTCTTTCAATGCCGACCTGAAGATAAAGAGGGTATAAGGATTTAGAAAGTGAATGAGAGAAAGGTAATTAGTGAATGAACATGAAGAGAGTGAGGAATGTGAAAAGAGATTACTGAATGAGAGTTGGTTGATGAGAGATGATGGAATCTCGGATAGATGTAAAGAGAGATTACGAGAGTTAGAGAGAGTAAGAGGCTATTGCTCTTAGATGTTTCCTATATGACGCAATAATTCCTTTTTCTTGTTTGCTGAAATGTTTATGCAAACGAGAATTTGAGAGAACTTAAACATGGTCTAACAGGTCAAATGGTATAACCTCTCCATTCCAGAAATTATCGTTTGGAGCCATGGCACGAATGCTTTACAACAACTAGTCATGCTGAATTTGAAGCTTTGATCTACTCAGTCTATGTGCTACAGCGTGAGGATAAGAAATTAGATGGTTATGAATAGTAAGAAAATAATGCGGGAAAAGTAACGTTACGTTCTTTCTTTCAGTTATGAATGCTTGAATAGATTACAAAGCAAATGCCGTTATCGTGTTCGAGTAAAGCGAATGAATGAATTCTATATTGTGGAAGAGAAAGGAGCTCATAACCATGCTATGGAGCCTGTTGGAACACCAGGAACTCATGCTGGCTTACCGAAGTATGTGTTTTACATGCTCTCATCCGTCTTTTAACCCTTTCTTCCTTATTTGTTTTTGTTGTTTAGAACTTTGCGTGAAATCGTTGACACATCGTTCCGAGAAGAATGGGCTCACAGCCAACGACAAGCAGCTCTTGATGAGGAGGTTAAACGGCTTGGGCTACCTCATAACCCAAGATTGAGTAGACAGGTCGATAACCGTATTGCATATTTACGAAGAGTCAAAAACCTCTCAGAGATGAGGAAGCTACAGGATCAGGTATGTAGACTAGAGATCAAGAAGAGAGTATCATGATCGTCAGTATGTCGAACGCGTTGACCTATAAAACGTGTTGCAGTTGCCAAATGGCCAGAGTAATCAAATTACTTTGCCATCAAATGATTCTCAGAGCCAAATGTCATCTGATTCGCCTGAAACACCTCCACCAGGAGATTTGCTTCGAATGGTTATGCAAGTAAGCTAGCATTGTACTTGGACTCATCTAATTGGTATAATTCAAGTTGGCTAATGGAAACCAGGAGAACTCCCAAGATTCCAATCGTTTATTATCGTTGATGATCAACAATGGCATGCCGATGCCAACAGCTAACGATAATACAGAGAAAGAGAATGAACAAATGATGGACGATGAAGAGAAACCAATGATAGACGTAAACGAAGATTCTGATTATAAGCAAGACGTGCACTCTGACTGTTCATCTCCTAATGGAATGTCTATGGAGAGTAACGACGAGAATTAGAGTTCATCTATCTAACTATCCGGCTATGTCGGTATATTTCTCCATTCATAGAATAGAATTGAATCAGTTCCAATAAGAAAAAACGAAAATTTCATTATTATTATCATTAAGTGATGACCTGGCTTATACGTAGCCAACCTCTGTGCCTTTCGTTCATATCGTGTATATGTATGTGTTTCGCTAATTTTGCCTTACAAGGCTACATTATTAAGTATATATATATATATATTAGTACTTTGTATTTCTCACTAAGCCCTTCATATATCGTTTTATCTCCTTCATATTGCTCTCTTCGAATATGTTCTCATTCTTTACTTCATACGGGCTATGACTTCTCATGGAAACTTAAATAATTCAGTTGTAATAAGCAGGCAGTCTCCTGCTAATCTTCGTACATACATATATCATATCTAACTATATTCATAATAAATTATTTCGAGAATCAAACTACTTCATCTCTTTTTCAACACAAATGTCTTATCGTTCAATCTATTTTATTTATTTTGTGTGCATTGTGTTGTCGCTGTGTGGATTCTAATTAACGCCTTACTACGTATTTTAAAATTATATACTTTTTGCATTCACCTGGTAATTTATTCATTTTTTAAGCTTTATCTGTAGCAGAAGATTGGTTTGATGAAAAAAATTGACGAAAGTGAGGAAGTGTTAACTCCTGGTGAACTTCAAACGGAAGTTGGTCAATTACTTGAAAACTTATCTTCTGCTTGCGAACAATTGGCCCAAATTGTATGACTTTATCGTTTCTATCACTTCTTTTCTTTTCTACTCAGAGCACTTTTTCAACTACTTCATTAGGTAATCAGTTAGAGAGTTGTGCTGCTTCACTAGAAGAGCTTCGCAATTTGAATCAAATTGCTCATTCGGAACTATCAACCGTTTGTTTACACTTCTCACCTCATTAAGTTTTCAATCTTTCGCAGGCTTCTGAAGCAATACACCTTTTCAATAGACGAGCTAGTGATTTGTACCCAGTTTTTGATAAAATCGATAAAATTGCACTACACGTAGAAAAGGTTAATTCTTAGCTTTGTACAATTCGTTCTATTTCCCTGTTCAGAACAAGAAAGCGTTGACTGAGCTTGAAAACCTTTGCACCATCATTGAAGTTAAGAAAGGAATCAAAAAACAATAATGGGTTCGGTTTCCTTGATTTGTTTGATCCACTCAATTCATCAATTTCAGTTCGTACTCGTGCAGGAAAAACTAGTCGACGAGAATCTATTG